GACGTTATTAAGGTCGACGAATCAGAGCAAAAGCTAAGAGAGAAAACGAATGTACAATCATCAAGAGGATCAAATCTTCGAAGCCAGAAGAGCTAATCAACAAATAGATCCAAACGTGTTTTCTCCACTGTATGTCATGTAAAGAAACCCATCTTCGTCTTTATGTTCTTCATAGATTGCAGACATCAACGCGGCTTTTCGTAAGAACAAGAACAGAGAGAAAGAGAGATACCAAATTAATACAGAAGCAAAAATATAAAAGATTCAAAAGGCTTTTAAACAAATGTTTGAAAATCCTTTACCAGTTGGGGGTAATGTGTTCTTGACAAAGACAAAGATGGCTTTTTCGGCTCCAAGCTTGATTCTTTTCCGCACAACGTATACAAATTGGCCAACCGTTAAATCAGCTGGTACAAGATACCTAAGAGAAGAAAGAAACAAGATAAGATAAACATGTAACTTTAAAAACTGGGCTTAAACTCATCTTGACTACAAAGCAAAGACCAAGGGACGAGCGAGGAATGAGAATCGTCCAAGTTCTAACGATTAGCTTTAAACCAACTAAAGTAAGCGTATAACCGAGAGACTCAGACTCTATACCACCACAACGCAAAGGTACCCTTGAAGACTTAAGAATAATAGAGAACATCAAGAAGCTAATTTGGGAATTAATCATATTACGTAATCATCACTCACTTCTTCTTGTCAATGTCAGGAACATCACTCTGTCCAGCTTTTTCCACAATCACCTGTATACGGTTTCTCATTAGAACAAATATACTAGAAGAAAACTATTGATTCGATAACGGGAAAAGTCGAAGAAAACATACGGGAACTCTGTCTGGGTATTTCTCTCTGATACGAGTAGATTCAGCCATTCTCGTCTCTGAGATCAATAAAAAAAAACATAAAGATTCAATAACAAGTTAATGGAATTATACAAGCACATCATGAACAACACAACCTTGTAGCTCAACAATAAGGTTCATTGAATTCAAAGTAACTTCCAATGAAATTACTCTAATCTTTCCAGATCAAACACAAGTATCAAAGATCGAATCATAACCATATACAAAAAAACTCTTAATTAATCAGGCTAATCAAAATTCCGTGTTCCCTTAACAAAG